TTGGAAAGTGGTTAATACATTGGGCTACTAACCAAAAAAATCAGTAGTTTAAACTCACCGGTCCTCCATGGGAGAAAAATGAAGCAGTATGATTCCCTAAGATTTTCAGGCTTGGAATCTCTATGAGGCAGTTCCACTATGTCCTATAGGGTCATTATGAGTCAGAATCGACTACATGATAGTGGGTTTGATTTGGTTTATTATCATTGCTATCTAATATTATTAACAGTTACTTAGTATTTTTGTCTATTATTATTATCATTAAAAGTAGTTTTAACTTATTCTTCTGAACTTGACTCAGTATTCTATACAACATGAGCAATACTCTCTGTCTACTTTATTTGCCTTTTCTATCACAAGATTATTATGAGAATGAAGTCTTAAACTAAACTAAAAATTAAGTACATAAAAATTGCCAAATAAATAAATAGACTCTCAAGTAGCATTTCTCCATTAAATCTCCATCAGTATCTGAATTTATATATTATCTCTACTCTGTGGACTGCAACACCTATGATTCCCATCACTGCTCCACCATTTAGAAGTGCAATTAGGGTATTACCCCTTGTATGAGTTTTTTTTTTTTTTTTTTAATACTAAATTATCTAAGAGGTAAATGCAGTCACTGTCTTCAAACTTGAAATCATATAGATCCTAGACAACAGATACCTCTAATACAGCACTCAGGATTTTATTCTCCACTGATCTAGATGAGTGGACAATATTAAAATGAAAGCATCAGTCTTAAAGGGAGAGAAGAATTAAGAGTCACAGGAAGATGAAAGAGCCAAAATTTTATGTATTACATTACGAATAACCCTAATCTATTAAAAATAACTTGCTGTTGTTAGGTGCTGTTGAGTGGGTTTCCATTCATAACGACCCCATGTATAGCTGTATGAAACACTGCCTGGTCTTGTATTTTCCTCATAATTGTTACTGTTTCAGCCCTTTTTTGCAGCCACTGTGTCAATGCATCTCATTGAAACTCTTCTTCTTTTTCACTCAACATCTAGTTTACCAAACATGAAATCCTTATACAGGCAATGGTCCCTCCTGATAACATGGCCACAGTATGTAAGGCAAAGTCTACCTATCACTGATTTTTCAAGACTGCCTGGGCTAACTTATAACTAGTGTTGGATTATTAAATCTAGTGAAAAAAATTTTATTTTTTGCCCCACGATTAATCTCAACAGGGGACTTCTTTCCCTTGCAGCATTTCATCATCCCTTCCCAACCTCCTTCTCTTTTTGAAAACACTTTTAAGGTGTGAATCCCATTAAACCTGTTTTAGGAGAAAAGAAGATTCTGATATGATTCCAGCTGAGACAGGAGACAAGATTCTACAATACCAGTCTCTCATGCCATCCTCATTTCTAAGGAGCACCCTGGCTGGACTCCTTCCCAGGCAGATTCATTGGTTCTTCTGGCCGTGCATGCTATATGCAGCACTCTGTGACCTAATGTAATTCAAAGGCATTGGTTCTTCTTTGGTCTTCCTCATTCATTGTTCTGCTTTCACACGTATATGCAGTGACTGAAGACACCAAGGCCTGGGGAAGGCGCACCTGAGTCCTTAAAGTGACAGTTTTGCTTTCAAAACACTTTAAACAGGTCTTTTTCAACACATTTGCTCAGTGCAATACATCATTTGATTTTTTCACTGCTGCTTCCATGAGCATAGATTGTGAGTCCAAGGAAAATGAAATTCTTGATAGCTTCAATATTCTCTCCACTTATCATGATGTTGATCTTTGGTCCACATGTGAGGGTTTTTGTGAGTGGTTACTTACTGGCAATCTCCCCAATGTACATAGATCTCAGCTATGTTTGTATTTTTTAAATTAAAACATAAGCTCTGCAATTTATTTGAAAGACAACTTGCACATGAACTTTCTAATTCCATTAATTTGTTCACTTAAAAATATTTTTTTACAACTAATGTTTCTGAAATTCATCAATGATTGTAAATATATTTCATAGGTTTTTTTACTTTAAATATCTTATTAAAATATCAACAATGAATTACATAAATGCAATGTTCAATTGCTACAATGTCTTTGCTGAAAATGAAGGTTTCCTATAATATCATTTAGTAAGCTTACAAAAATAGCAGTTTTCCAAGTTTCATTGTTTCAAAGTTATTTAATGTCCCTATTTAAAATTATTGTTTAAGGTAAAGTATATTTAATAAAGTCAAAAATATATAGGAACTGCTTTAATAAAATAGTACATTTTCTATGTCATTTACTATGAAGATCAAAGAATACAGTTTTCAATATGGATTACTACTCAACATTAAAACAAAAATCTTCACAACTGATAACCAACATCTTGAT